TGGAGAAGAAAAAAAAAAAACGACAAACAACCGAACAACCACCCTCGTTTCCACGAACCGAACACTGACAATATTCAGTAAAATGGAAAAAAAAAAAAAGAGTAAACCGTTATCAAAAATAGCTTGCTAGTAAACCGAAGCTCTCAGCGTTTCATGCACAAGCCGCCGTCTCGAGGGCGGAGAAGCTCCCACGGGGTTGGATCGACCGTGGCTCCGCCGTGCCCACCGCGACGCTGCCCACCCGCCGCGCTTGCCGAGGGCGAAAGTAGCCCAAGCTACAAAAAAAAAAATATGTATATACACACCCGCGAAGGGCTACCTATATACACAGGCACCTATGTACAGCCGCGCTACTCCTTCTTCTTGGCCACCGTCAGCTCCACGCCCGGCATGCGGAAGCCGCCCTTCGTCCCGCTGTCGTTGCTGGAGGAGGAAGACAACCGTGATTTTTTGGATGCTAACGAGACCCCGCTGCCCTGCGCCTTCCCCATCTCCTCGTCGCTGCCCGTCACCTCGTAAGAACCTTTGGTTTTAGAGCCGATCCCCCCAAACGTCCCGAATTTCATTTTGCCCTGTTTCCCCTTATCGGTGCCCGAGGCGACGTCCAGCTCCAGGGTTCCCGTGGGTGTGGAGTGGGACGAGCGCTCGTCGCTGAAGGACGACGACCGGTGACGCGTCTTCTTGCTTTTAAAGAGGGAGAACTTCCCTTTCGCCGACGGACCCTCTCCCCCCTCGAGCTCGCCTTCTGCGGACCCCAAGCTGACCTTGGAGCTCTTCAGGTCACCTTTGGAACCCTCCGGGGAGCCCAGGGCACCGCTGCTCTTCCCCTTCTGCTTGGAAAAGTTAAACTTGGGCATTTTGATTTTGGATTTCTTCAGCCTGACGTCCGCCTCCTCCGACTCGAGCTCCGCGGCGGCGCCAGCCTGGAGGTTAGCATCCGCCCCGGGGAACTCGACGTCGACCCCCATCTCTCTGCCCTTCGCCTCGGGGTCTGAAAACACAAATTTAGGCATTCGCAGCTTGGGGAACGATACTTTTCCCAGGCTGCTTTCCGGGCTACCTTGCAGGACGCTCGTGCTGACGCGGGGACCGCCGATTCCTACCTTCG